CCTGGCCGTGGACAACTCTTACAGTAAGAGTCTCAAATGGAAAAAGTCAGAGCTGGCCAGGCGCAGTGGCTCACGCCTGTAATCCCAGCACTTTGGGAGGCTGAGGGGGGCAGATTACAAGGTCAGGAGATCGAGACCATCCTGGCTAACACGGAGAAACTCCGTTCCTACTAAAAATACAGAAAATTAGCCGGGTGTGGTGGCGGGCACCTGTGGTCCCAGCTACTCGGGAGGCTGAGGCAGGAGGATGGCGTGAACCAGGGAGGTGGAGCTTGAAGTGAGCCAAGATGGCGCCACTGCTCTCCAGCCTGGCTACAGAGCGAGATTCCGACTCAAAAAAAAAAAAAGAAAAGAACAGAAAAAGAAAAAGTCAGAGCTGGTATCTGGACAAGACTATACACAATCTACACCTGACATCACTGTGACACAAAATTTATATAACAACTTCATTTACGGAGACACTAACCTATATAATAATCAATTTCCTGTGAGCTCTGAAATCTCAGCAAATGCATCTATGTGCTCAAAATGTAATGGGGATAAAGAGAGGTTGCTTAATGGGTACAAATATAAGAAATGATATAAAAAATAAGACCTGGTGTTTGATAGATCAGGAGGATGACTATACTTAGTGATAATCTACTGTACACTTCAAAATAGCTAGAAGAGAATCATCTGAATGTTTCTAACGTAAAGAAGCAGCAAATATTTAAGGTAATGGTTATCCCGATTTCCCTGATGTGATCTTTACATATTATATGAATGTATTAAATTATCGCATGGACCCTGAAAATATGTACCCCTATTCTGTATCAATAAACAGAAATAAGGCCAGGCACAGTGGCTTATGCCTGTAATCCTAGTACTTTGGGAGGCCGAGGCGTGCAAATCACCTGAGGACAGGAGTTCAAGACCTACCTGGCCAATATGGTGAAACCCGGTCTCTACAAAAATACAAAAATTAGCTGGGTGTGGTGGTGCACACCTGTAACCCCAGATACTCAGGAGGCTGAGGAAGGAGAACCCTTTGAACCCAAGAGGCAGAGTTAGAAGTGAGCCAAGGGCGCCACTGCATTCCAGACTGGGCAATAGAGTGACACTTCATCTCAAAAAAAAAAAAAAAAAAGGAAAAAAAGAAATATTTTTAAAATATGCAATGAGACATGAATGCAGTTTTTCTGTTTCTTAGGAAACACACTTTCTTTCATTCCTCCTAAAACACACCTCTCCATAATTCCATCTGAGCTCTATTTCCATTTCTTCCCTTTCCAGATAGGGAAAGAACTTGTTATAGTTGAGGAAAAAGAAGAAAGACTTAGTTCTTCTCTCTTGCATGCCAGAAACTGGATCAAAGGTGTCAGATCTACTTATTCAATGGCTTTCAGAGGAGATATGCAGGAGGCCCCACGCAAGAAGGAAGGTCTAGGGGCACCTCTCTGCGGTTCCAGAGACCAGGAAGAGCTCAGTACACCAAATATCTTTAGAACTTAGGTAAGTAAAATATTACTCCATTTGGGGCAATTTAATTAACCTGCACCATATTATTGTGACAATCTTGTATTACTTTTAATGGCAAAAATCGCAATTACTTTTGCACCAACGTAGTAAATAGTGTGCATTGTCTTTCCCATAGATAGCCACTGCTGCATTAGGGAAATCTATGTGCAGGAAGGTATTGATGGTTTGGTACCTCCTGTCAGCAAGTTAAGAGCAAATATTGCAAGGGTACCCTGGGGCTGAAGAAATTGCAAGCATTGAACATTACATTTTTGCACATAAATGCTATGCAAAAAAAGACATTGATCAATCCAGTGTACTCAACAGTGGTTTTTACCACAAATGCAGAAGTCTTTGCCTGGGACGATATTTTACAATGTTCATTGGTTTCCAAAAAATGAGTTAATACTGGGGCATAATTCTGACTATTCCTCGCAGGGGAAGTGTGGATCAGGTCTGAAAATGTGTTATTAAATTAGGCTGCAAGACAAGTTATGCCAATAAAATAAAGAGCCCGGGTGAAGTGCCTTGTGTCTGTTAAAGACAAAATCATGCTGAAGTTACAGAGAATTTTGTTTCGATTACAGAGAACATAACAGAGAATTTTCTTTAATGTTGGCTTATACATTATTCCCGCTTCATGTAAAACAGTCTTCTCTCAAAGGTCATAAATATCAGAGTAGATGATGTGTACTAGTTTTGCAGGCAAATGAAGGTAGTTGGAAATGTACACAGGAAATCTACACAAGGGACAATCAGAAAAACCTCATGAGCATGTTCTGAATACAATTTTAGTGGCTGGGAGTGGTGGCTCACACCTGTAGTCCCAGCACTTTGGAAAGCCGAGCTGGGCAGATTACCTGAGGTCAAGAGTTTGAGACCAGCCTGGCCAACAAGGCGAAACCCCGTGTCTACCAAAAATACAAAAATTAGGTGGGCACTGTGTCGAGTGCCTGTAATCCCAGCTACGCAGGAGGCTGAGGCAGAAGAATCACTTGAACTCGGCAGGCGGAGGCGGAGGTTGCAGTGAGATCGCGCCACTACAATCCAGCCTGGGTGACCAGAGCAAAACTCCATCTCAAAGAAAAACAAACAAACAAACAAACAAAAACTCCACAATTGTAAAAGATGAATATGGTTGCAAATTAGGCAGGTTATGGTCTGAGTTATTTCTTAAGACACTTCAATAAGTCTGATGCATCATAAGCACAGATGTCTCCAGGAGCCAGGCAGCTGTCATCACTGAACAGATAGGATAAAAGACTGCAGGGAGAGATGGAATCAGAGAACGGCCCTGAGCTAGGGCACTTTCCACAGACGCAGCTGTTACTCAGCTCTAATTGATGCAACACCAACCGTGCACCAACTAACATCATGTGATTTTTAAAGGTAAGACAGTAATGAAAACTTTTAGTGAACTATTCCAATGTCAAGCTTTATCTCCCAAACCAAACATTATAAATAGCACTGTGTATGCTGAAAAGAAACACCGTTTAGCCAAGTACATGCCCTGGGGCTGCGGTCTCTGTCTTTCGCCTCATTCTATAGACACTTGAGTGCAAGTCTTTCTACCCAGTGTGACTGTCAGCATCACAGAGGGGATACTCTATGTATCATTCACCTTTACATTCTCATCACCTACAAAAATGATCACCACACAATATACATGAAAAAACAAATTCGCCTCATGATAAAGCTGCTAATGAATGTCGGCCAGAACAGGACTTCAGGGCAGAGCACTATGAGCTGCACATTGAGCCCTCACCTGGTCCCCTTTGTGTCCACATTTACCTAGGGACTCCAGTGATAAAATTATTGCATTTCTAAATGACAGGAAAATTGGATGGTAGCAAAAATTATGCAGATTAACTCTTGGAAGGTATATGGTATTATTTAAGGTCTACTTTCCATTTTCTAATCTCAAAGCTAGACCAGAGATTTAACATCTGTTAGTACCCAGGTCTTACCCCTGCAATTCACTTCCCACCTCTGTACAATTTCCCCACATCATCCCCTGTGCCCAGAATGCTCATCTCTTCCCTAAAGCCCCTGAAGACCCCCGCTTAGCCTTTAGGGCTCTGCTGAAATGAAACTTTTTTTGGAACTCTTCCTTGTTTCTCAAGCCAAGTGATTTCCTTCACCATCAGTGTCCCCATGAAACCATGTTCACACAAGTTATATTACCTCTGTCACACTGTAATACAATTATATGTCTACAACTACTTTCCTGTGTTTCTCTGAGGACTAAAAATAAGTGGATGCTTTGTGTATCAAATTGTACACTTGACTTCTATACTTTCAGGAATACAGTGCTCTGTCTTTAATGTTCATTTTGTAAATACAGAAACATTTTCTTGTTAATATCATAAAACGAAACTTATCAGGAAGATGAATGACAACCCCAGAACACACTGTTTTTTAAAAAATATCATAGGCTGGAAAGAACACAGGAATACTGAGTGCTAAGTTGGAATCTTTATGACACCAAACGTTCATGCCCCAATGCACATTGTCTGCCAGATTTTACAACTTTCCTCAGTGTGTTTTTAGGCTGTGTAACTTTACACAAAGTGGAAGCAATAATGAGGGCAAGACTTAAGAGAAGTGGATCCAACGCAAGAGAAGTAAAGAAAAAACTCCCTCAAATATGTGGAGCAGATTGTTTTAATTATCTACAGAATCTTGTACCCCAAGAAAGTAGTAGCTCAAGTTTCCAGCAAAGCATGGTGGATAAGATGGAGAGCATTTGTGTGAGAGAGAACCAAGGATATTACTAAAAATGAAAGGGAAGCTAGGTTCCTCCTGGGCAAACAGCCCTCTGTGGCTCTATTTGTTCTAGCTACTATGCCTGCCTTCATGTTATTTAGTCAATTAGGGGCCTGCCAGAGGACAGTCACAAAATCTGTGGTCATCCTGCAGGCAGCGTATCATTTTCATCCAGAGTCCAAATCCAACCAGCAAAACTCTGTCTTACACAGGATGACTTGGAATTAGAGTCCTTATAGCAGAAAGAGCAACAGGGCTGTCCTTGGGTATCCGTTGCTCAGCCAAGTCATCAGATAAAAAGGTGGATTGCACAAGTGGACCATGCGTCAATTTGTGGGTTTCTGCATGACCAAGAGTCAGACCCTCCCTCCTGGCTCTGCTGGCCCAACCCACCAGGAGATGCTTTATTTAAACAGTTCCAAGTAAGGGAGACCAGCTGCCCCTGAACCCCAGAACAACCAGCTGAATCAGTTCTCACAGGAGCTGCAGCTCAGAGACTGGGTAAGTCAACAATCCCCAAAGCTGGGAAAGGAGGGACAGTGACGGGGCAGCACCTCAGGGAGAGGTGAGCTGAAGTTAGTGCTTAGGAGATGTGGCACACTCTGGGGACAGGAAGAAAAAGGAAATGGGACCCCAGAGTGGCAGCAGAAGGGCCTGTGGGTTGACACACTACAGAGTGTGTCATAGCCGAGACCAGATCAGGGAGTAGTTACTTCTCTTCTTTTCTTACAGGAAACATGGTTCCAAAATTGTTCACTTCCCAAATTTGTCTGCTTCTTCTGTTGGGGCTTATGGGTGTGGAGGGCTCACTCCATGCCAGACCCCCAGAGTTTACAAGGGCTCAGTGGTTTGCCATCCAGCACATCAATATGAATCCCCCTTCATGCAACATTGCAATGCGGGTAATTAACAAGTATCAACGGTGTTGCGAAAAGCAAAATACTTTTCTTCGTACAACTTTTGCAAATGTAGTTAATGTTTGTCGTAACCCAAGTATACCCTGCCTTCATAACAGAACTCTCCAAAATTGTCATCGTAGTAGCGTCCAGGTGCCTTTACTCCAGTGTAAACACATAAATAGAGGTGCACAGAATGTTTCAACCTGCGAGTATGCAGACATGCAAGGACAGAGTTCCTATGTAGTTGCATGTGAAAACAGAGATCCACGGGATCCTCCACAGTATCCAGTGGTTCCAGTACTCCTGGATGGAATCATCTAAGCTCCTGTATCAGCACTCCTCATCATCACTCATCTGCCAACCTCCTCAATCATAGCCAAGATCCCATCCCTCTATGTACCCTGGGTATCAGCATCTGTCCTCTTCAGTCTCCATACCCCTTCAGGTTTCCTGAACTGAAGTGCCTTGTGAACCTCCAACAAGCTGCTGTGCAAATTCATCTGGAAATGTCTGTGTGTCTCCGTCGGCCGCTCTGCTGTCGTTTAGCCAAACTCTGCTCTAGGGATATGGGTTTTTCATGAATCTCTCACACTTAATATCTGACCAAATTCCTTAATTCCCCCATCATCCTCCATGTGATACCTGATTCCAGGCCTGCCTTAAAAAAAATCCAATTGAGTCAACTTAGCATTGGTCTCCCTCGCCTTGGTATCTCCTCTAAGGAATTTTCCATCCACTGGCCCCTCCCCTAACACCAACCTGTAACTTGTGTACAGATCTCCACTTGTTTTAGCTGTATTCCAGAATTGAGACCAATTTGATACTGAGGTCCCATTTGATGCTTTATGGTCCAACTATGGTTTTTATTGACATGATTTCTATACCAAGAAAAAAAGAGCTGCAGTGAATAAGCTGAAAATGCACATGTTTCATTATGATTTATGAATGATAAATTTTGATAGAATTGAATGTTATGGTAGAAAACAAAAAAAAGTAGAAAGAGTCAAGAATGCTATAAATATAGTGAAACCAAGATAAAAACAAGTTTAGAGTCAGAGATACTTCTTTTAAATGAGCACATCAAATCTCCAGCTATCAGCAATTGTACTGCAGGTGGAACCAGGGTTTGAGTCAAATGTGCAATGAGATAAATTGTGCAGACAGCAATAGGGACAGATTGTAATACTGCCTGGAGGAGAGGTAGCCATCATTCCCAAAACTCCCATGTCCTGGAGATAGGGAGCCGCTGGTCACATGGGAAGGGGAAGGGGAATGAGGAGGACGGGGAAGTGGGAGCACTCATGAAGCTGAGTTGCCTCCTGTCCATTTTGCCCTCCATAGTTGTCCCCAGTGGTGAGTCAAAGGGTTCATTCAACACCTGTCAGGTAGGGCACAGCCTCGAGAATTAGGGATTTGTAGACCCAGAGAGAGAAGAAATGGATAATGAGAGCCCTTGCCCTGGCCTCCATTACAAGGCTTCATTCACTCAGAAATCCATGAGAAACAAGAAGGGGAAGCCCTTTCTTGCAAGCTGTGGACAGGTGCAGCACTCAGGTGATTGTGCCGGGGACAGAGTGGGTCCTTTTGAAAGGCCTGACTCACAATACAACAGAGATACGATGCCATCAGATCTGCACCTTGGTCCTTCAGTCTGAGATTTCTGACTTCTATATTTCTGCTCCCCTTCCAGACCCTCAGAAACAGCAATTTCCATTCCTCAGATGACTCCATGTCAGTAATAGTGACTCTCGTTGGCACCAGACAGCAACTGTATTGAAGTCTCTCCTCGGGAGAAGCCATTGAGATCTTGCTTCTCCAAGGTGGGGCTGTGAACTTAAAAGTTTGCACAGAGACACTGGGTTTGGGAAATCTCAGTGCTCAACAGAATCCACTGTCTCTAGGTAAAATAGGACATGTCAGGAAGTGAGTGCAGTCTTCCCAACCCTCAAAGTAGCAGAAGGAGAAGGTGGCACACCAAAAGCTGGAGCCACGCCTCCTGTGAAGAAAGATGGTGTGGACCTTCTTTGTTTCAGGTACCAGATCACAAGTGTCTTCTCAGTCAGGGATGCCTCATATCTAAAACCATAGGACGGAGGGATCAGTCCCCACAAGCCCCCACACCCTCTCCACCTTGTGACTTCATCCTCTCTCCTGTCATCCATTCCTTCGCTCATTCATTCATCCAGCAGACATCTACTGAGTAGATACCTTGCTCCAGGCACAGTTTGAGGGAGTGTTGATGCAACACACACCAAGACAGGTCACTGCTCTTTTGGGGCCACATTATACAAGGATAAAAATAAACATACAAAATTGTTCTAAGCATGCAAAATTTTGCTAAGTGTCAGGAGGAAAAATACACAGCATAGTACACTGAAAATTACACAGAGCAGCACGATATAGAGGTTCTGTGTGTGCCACAGACGTCACAGGGCAGAGTGTCACCAGGAAAGACCCATCTCAGAGAATGAAATCTGAACAGGAGGAAAAGCAGCCAGTCATACAGACACCAGGTGGAGAATCATCCCAGCAAATAGAAAGACAGTTCAAAAGTCCTGACAAATATCAAAGCTGTAAGTAGACTTTTGGTTCTGTGTTTACAAGAAGTTGATTAAAACATCTGAAAGAGAATGGCTACAATTACTTGCATCTTTTTATATATTTATTACTTAATGTAATAAAACATTTTTAATTTTAAAAAATGGTCCTGAATGGATAGAGTTTCGGCATGTTAGAAGCACAAAAGGTGTTTGGTCGGGACAAGATCATCATAGCCAGGAGTATTAATGATAGGAGTTAATGAGGTTCAGACCCTTCATGCCTGTGAAGACGGAAGAATAAAGTACGTTCCTCATGGGGAACAAATCAAGCATGTTACATACAAGAATAATGTTGCCTAAAGATCAGTCCAGCTGCTGTGCAGAACTCAACTATTTGGGAGACAAGAGTGGAAGCAAGGCCCCAGTGAAGGACCACAGGTTGAGGGAGAGGGAAACAAGAGTCTTCCAATCTCAGGGAATCGCATCATCATCCTATCATGGTGCAGCCCCATGTTATTCCCCTCCCTGTTGCCATGACCTCTCTCCAGCCCCTCCATGCCTTTTACATCATCTTCCCGCCGTCCCCATGCTGAGGACAGCACTGAGGTCAGAGGCAGCTTCCCTCTCCCAGGGAGTGAGACAATTCAAACAAGAGCAAGGAGGATTCTATGCTTGACCGTCAGGAAGCCCTGGCTGGAGTCACTACCCCTTCTGCAGTAGACATCCAAGATTTTCTCATTGCCCTGGACCCAAGGCCAGCACCACAGAGACTACCATTAGAGAAGTTAAGTGGTCACATCAGCATGTTCCAAAGACATGACCCTTAGAGTCCACTTCTCTTCCTTGAACCTCCCATGTCTGATTTTATAAAATTCTCTTAATATCAAATCTCCAGAAAGTCTTGCAGGAGTAAATGCAGTTAATTGTTCTGTAAGCTGGCAGGGAGGGTCTCCAGGGATTGTAAGAATTTAACCAACCTGAGCAATCAGCCTGTTATACAAGTTTGCTGGTGGGAACCAGCTCCTGGCATAACCCAGCAACTTACAGACAAACCGGCATGAACTTTCCTCATTACCGTGCTAAAGTCTCCACTCAGTCAGGAGCCTCATTACCATAACATGTGAACTATGTGCTGGCAGAATCACTCACTGTGTCTGGGCAACGGGGACTCCTCCTCTATATGTGATGATACACCCTCTCTCTGCCCTCTCCATCACCCCATAGAATGTTCTTGTCACTTTCCCTCAGGAAGACGGTGCTTTGGAGAATCCTCCCAGTGGCCTTCTTACTTGAACCAAGTCACAAAACTTTTATTTATCAAAACGTATGTTCTCATAGAGAGTCTTTGTTACTCGCCAGGGAAACAAACCCTGGTTTTCTCAGCTACCAGCTCTAATGCATTCTGTAAAGTCCAGCACAGAAGGAAGGTTAATTCACAATGCTATTGTTTTCATTTTGTTTTACTTTTTAATAATTGGGACCATATCAGGACAGATGTCTTTAGGTGGGGGTTGAATGGAAGGTCAAGGAGACAAATCATCAACTTGGAAGGATACCCTTGCAGAGATTATGACTACACTTGGGATTCATGAATATGAGACCTCACCAGTAGAGTAGCCTGCAATGTTCAAAGATATCAGAGTAGATCAAGCAATTGTAATGAAAAAAAAAAACAGGCTTTGTCTTTCAAGATGTCCGTGAATTGACTTTCCAAAAGGGGAAGAAGGCCCCATTTTCAGGGCAGAAGACAGAAGAGGAGAGAGGTTTAGGCTAAACATTGTAATCAGTTTTGCCTGATAATGACTTTTGGTTTCTTTCTTGGTTCTTATTTATTTATTTAATTATTTATCTATTTATTTATTTATTTTCCCAGGCTGGAGTGCAGTGGTGTAATTTCGGCTCACTGCAGCCTCCATCTCCCAGGTTAAAGTGATTCTCCTGCCTCCGCCTCCCGAGTAGCTGGGACTACAGGCATGCACCGCTAAGCCCAGATAATTTTTGTATTATTAGTAGAGACGGGGTTTCACCATGTTGGCCAGGCTGGTCTCAAACTCCTGACCTCAGGTGATCCGTCCTACTCGGCCTCTCAAGTTGCTAGGATTACAGACTTGAGCCATCACACCCAGCCTCTTAGTTCATTTTTAGAGATGAGGTCTCCCTATGCGGCCCAGGATGGACTTGAAGTTGTGGGCTCAAGCAATGTTTTTGCCTTAAACATCCCAGTAGTTGGGTCTATAAATACACAACACTGAGCCCAGCTGATACTCACATCTTATGTGCTATGTTTCCACTTTGATTACTTAAGGAAGTGAGGCAATTAGTAGGGATAGAAGCATAGAAATTCTGTCCATATTCCTATTTCCTATTACCTATGAAAAACAGCCTTGTTTCTGAACTAAAACTTGATTTTCGTTATAAATATTTTTCTTTATTAATATGCATGTAGAATTATGACAGACTTGTCACTTTTGTCTCACGTCTGATCTACAATGATTTCAAACGAAGATCAATTGACTCCTTCAAAATTTTCATTGTTTGAAAGATAACATGGATGTAAAACTGGGGGATGTGAGAGAATTTAGCATATAGGGCCAGCCAGGTTACCCAAATGAAGGTCTGGAAAACTGAGTACGTTACATGCTTATCACACATCCCCACTGATTTAGAAAATATGACTCTATTAGTCAGGATCGTCAAGAGAAACATAGCAGATGTATGTAGAAAGAGACAGATAGAAATATAGATACAGAAGGATTTATCATGAGAAATTGGCTCAGCCAGTTATGCAGTCGGTGAAGTCCCACAGTGTGCTTTCCGCAAGCTGGCAGACCCAAAAATGCCAGTGGTATAATTCGGTTCAAGTCCTAATGCCTG